CTCCTGTCCATTTACCCTGCTGTGGTGGGCAAATAGGTCACAATGAATTCACTGTACACACACACCAATCAGAGCTTCTCTCCTGCCTTGGAGGCCATACATTCAATCTCTGAGGGCTCCCATCCTTGAGAGGTAAACCTCACCCTCCTCACCCCCGGTGAGCGGGACTTACTAGGTCCAAAAGTCGCAGTTCTGATTACAGAGAGCTCAGGCTGCTGGTCTCAGCTTCTAGCCTCCTCCCTTCGCTCTGGGGAAGCAGAAACAGAGAACAGGAAATCCACCTCTCAGCCATGCGGTTCTCAAGAATCAACGCCCTCAAAGTGGGACACCTCTGGTTCCTGGATGCTAGTCTCATTTCTCTCTCTCTCTCTCTCTCTCTCTCTCTCTCTCTCTCTCTCTCTCTCTCTCTCTCTCTCTCTCTCTCTCTCTCTCTCTCTCTCTCTCTCTCTTTGTTTTTTCGAGACAGGGTTTCTCCGTGTAGCTTTGTGCCTGTCCTGAAACTCACTCTGTAGCCCAGGCTGGCATCGAACTCACAGAGATCCGCCTGCCTCTGCCTCCCGAGTGCTGGCATTAAAGGCGTGCGCCACCACCACCCGGCTCATTTCTTTCTCTTAAGGGCCACAGGGTGCTCCAGGGGTGTGTGCGGCCTCCTCACTCTGCTCCTTCCTGACACTCCCCTGCAGCCCTCCCCCAACCCCCATGCTAGGCTGGCCCCGCCCACCACCAGCACCACCAGCACCACCAGCACCACCAGCACCTGCATTTCTGCTTCAGGGTGGAGACTGTGCCTTCCTGACATGAAGCTTCCTTAGAGCCATGCAGGTCCTGCAGAAGTAATAACTAATGCCCTTATCAGTGGGAAGTCCTGATTTCTGATTGCCCGGGGATTCTGTTGAGCACCCCTAACCTGAAAATCTGAAATGTTCCAAAACCCAAATCTTTTGAGCATCAGCATGCCCCAGATTAGAATATTTCCCATTTTAAGATTTTTCACATTAGGAATGTTTGGCCAGTAAACTCTATGTAAATAGTATTTCTAAATACACCTCCCAACCCCTGAAGTCAGAAGCGCTTCTTGTCTGCATCCTTTTGGACACAGGAATGCTCGGTCTAGCAATGGAAGGTCTGCGCGTTGGGTGTAGGCGAAGAAGGTGGTTTTGAGGAGAGGGATGTGGTCAGCATGTCACAGGCAAGACTGTGCGAGTGGGTGGAACCGCTTAGCGTAGGAAACAAGCTTTCAGAGGAAACTGGAAAGGGTCCCCCCCTAGCCCCCACTCCTCCCACCCCCGGCAGCAAAAAAGGGGCGGGGTCTAGTCCTGGAATTTAAACAGAATCTGTTCCTCAGTTCCTAGGCAAAGGAGATCAAAGGAGGGAAGTTACAAATTTCTTAACTAAACTAGATAAACTCGGGTGTCTTTGGGCAAATCATTGACAGAATCATATGCTCCTATTACGTTTCCTGTCTACAATTTGCGCTCAGGAGAGAGCCATATTGCGCTGGTATCAGCTCTGTGTCCATGTAAGGCTTGGTGTGACTGACGTATGCTCATCATATCTTAGTCGATTTGATCAGAAATGAAAAGCCACGTTCTTTTTGAAAACAAAAGCTGGTAGTGACCACGGTTTGTTTGCTATTTCTCTTTAGAGCAGTGGTTCTCAACCTTCCTAACGCTGTGACCCTTTAATATACAGTTCCTCAGGTTGTGGGGACCCTCCCCACCATCAAATGATTTTGTTGCTTCTTCATAACTGTATTCTTGCTACGGTTATTAACCATAATGTAAATATCTGATATGCAGGATGGTCTTAGGCAACCCCTGTGAAAGGGTCATTCAACCCAAGGGGGTCACGACCCACAGGCTGAGAACTGCACAGCATGGGCTCTCCTGTGCTTTGTGTGTCTACTCACCCATCAGGGGAGGACTCCACACTCCCCCACGGTGAGAGACGGCACACCACCGTCCCTTCTGTTCTTAACGTGGAGAGAGCCTTTGTAATATTCAGCCCACTTTTTTTTTTTTTTGGCTGCTGTTGAATTATTCATTTGCATTTAATTTGTTTCTGTTTGGTTGGGGGTGGGTGTAGACAGGCCGCAGCACCTGTTAGAGAACAAGTAATAGGAGTCAGGTCTCTCCTTCCACCACGTGGACTCCAGGGTTTGAACTCAGATCACTAGGCTTGGCGGCAAGAGCCTTCACCCACAGAGCCATCTTGTCAACCCTCACAGCACACTCACTTGTATTAAAATTCCTAGGTCAGTGAACTTGAGATAGAATTTCAAAATTATCCTTAGGAAGATTACACCTGTTGGTCCACTTTACATATTTATGCCTGCATTTATTTGCTTGTTTTGAAATTGTTTTGAGACAAAGCTGAAGCCCAGGCTGGCCTTGAACTTGTGATCCTCCTGGCTGGCCACATTCATCCACATTTTAGAAAGCACTACCAGGGCCATACACCTGATGAGCAGGCAGTATTACTTCTTTCTGGATACCCAGCCCTTCTTTTCTCCTTCTGACTCCGAAGGAAGGAAGCCTGAGCCTGTGAGGAGCAGCAACTGTGTGGGGCTGAAGACTCTCAGTGGTTTCCATGGACTTCCAGTTACTCCTTTCAACCGTTTCCATCTTTTCTTAACAAATAAAGGAAAAGCCCTTTGCTGTTTGACTCTGGCATTCTGACTTTGGGTTCACCACCGTGCCCAGGACAGCGACATCATCCAATCAACAGTCCACGGAGGCTACTCTAATATACGTACTCACGTGCTTAATAGTATTTGGAAGAAAAGGGAAAGGCTGATATAACCATGGTCACTGGAGTCTCCATGACCATATGACGGCCTGGCTTTCTTCTTCATGGAGACAATGGCGGGGAGCAGAACATCATAGAGAGCGGATGTTAGTTCGGCCCCATAAGATGCATGCCTTTTCCTGCCTATTGATTTCGATGAGAGCTAAGGCCTGGGACATAGATGACATCAGAGCTAGTTGCCTCATTTCTCCCCCTGCTCCTCCGGATCACCTGATGGGATCACACTTCTCCACGTGGCCCTGAGACCTGTTCTAGCCAAATGGCATGTGAGCCATTTGTGTCCCCTCTGGAGTAAACCTTTTAGAGCTGGTATCAGCTGCATCAAGTCCCCTCCCCTCTCCCCTTGTGGCAGCATTCAGAGGATGGCTCCATCAGCCTGTGTTTTTGAGTGAGAACAGTTGAAGTTTCCCAGGATCAAGGTGAACATGCTTAGGAGATGGTTGCCGTCCCAGGGTAGTAGATCTCAGAGCATGGTCTTGGCCTCCTTGATTTTTATCTGAAAAGATAAGCCTCTGAATTGAACATGTCGCTCCTTATTAAGATCATTAACCAGAGGTTGTAAATCAACCCAGCTCTGTAGAAAATAGACTGAGCTGGATTGGGCATGTGAAGGTTGTACAGTGCCATGAAACTGTCAAAGTACTACTGTAGGAGTCACTTCCTCGAAGTTTCTGGGGCCGTCAGATTGCATCTCTCCCGTACAGAACAACCTTTCCTTCTCAGTCAGCTCTTCTCAGCGGCCCTTCCCATCCTGAAGGTGTCCCAGTTCTACCATTTAATCCACTGTGCTGCCATCTTACACTGTCGTGTCTGGGGCTAGAGAGATGGCTCAGTGGTTCAGAGCATGTACTGGTGTTGCAGAGGACCCAGGTTCAATGCCTTGACTACAAAAACGACCCATATTCCTGACGGCTACTCCTTTATCAATCATGGCTTTGGCCCACATCTGACCTTGACTTCTAGATAAGCTTAAGACACTTGGTCGTAGGGTTGTCCCCACTTCCTGACACAACCACTCCAACCTAAGGCCTTCCTTTTTTGGATAGGTCCCCAAACCACGCAACTTTTGGTTCTCATCTGTTTGCTCCTCTTCCTCAGGAAGTAATACCCTATGGGCTCCAGGTGTATTCCAGCTGTGTGTATTGGAGGTCGATGACTGCTTTCCCACTGTCTCCGAGGTTGCCGTGTGTGCTTTGTGAGACTTACTATATCCTCTCAACAGAGGAAGAACGGACATTCCGAGAGATTTTAAAATCCCCTCCAGTGGTGGAGGGGTGACTGGCGGGAAGGCTCACTGATTAAGAGCACTTATTGCTCTTCCACAGGACCTAGGTTCAGTTCCCAGCACCCACATGGCAGCTCACATCTGCCTGTAACTCCAGTTCCAGGGGGATCTAGCATTTTCTTCGGCTCTCCACACAGGGTGCACATACACATAAAACAAAATAAATATTTACATAAAATTGTAGTAAATATTTCTTTAAAATTTCCACAGCTAACACATCCCCACTAGGAACTTTTTCCTTGTGTCCTTCCTGGGAAGTCCTTTCTTCTCTCTTGCGTTGTTTTGGCAGATGCTCGCTGGGTCCATCCATATGCTACGGTGAACTGCAACCCTAGCAACCCTAGTGTGTGACATTTACAACCACTTTTTGGTGTTTCATTTAATTTTATATATTTTATTTCTTTATAAAATAATATTTATTTATAAAATAAAATTATATATACTATATGTATATACATATATATACATGCACACACACATATATAAAAATGTATTCTTGCTTTGGACAGGAGTCTTGCTATGTAGTCCCGGCTGTTCTCGAACTCTTGATCCAGCTGCCAAGGCGACCCGCTCTTCAGGTTCTACCCAGAAACACTTGGCAGAACCAGCACGGAGCTGCGGGGTCACCCAACCTGCCCCGCTGTTGGGCGAGAGCCAGCCGGGCCTCCGGGGGCGGGCGCGAGAGAGTGACGCTGCGCTAGACCAATCCCTGCGGGGGCGCCGGCCGCGGGACCCAATCACAAGCGAGCTAGGGAAGGGTGACAGCTCGGGCCGAAGATCTCTATCTCCGGGCTCCCGTGATGATGCTCGACTGCCGAGTCACTACCAGGGCCCAAAGACCGAGACTGCGGCGGCGTGGGGAGCAGCCGGGACTGAGTCCGGGGCCACTAGAGACCGGGAGGTGCGCTTATCTCGCTTTGCCTTCAAACAGGGCTCCAGTGTCGCGTTCCAAGGACATCCCCCTGTTGCGTCCAGCTCCACCTCGCTGTCCCCAGCTAGGGAGCCGCGCTGGAAAGCCGGGGGCGCTGCGCCCTGCACGGGTAACTGAGAACCCAGTCCTGAAAACGGTCCTACCTGCGCCTAGCCAGGCAGGAAGACCGGAACCGTGGGGGTGAGTTTAGAAAACGAAAACAGAAACTCCCCTTCCGATCGGGAGCTGCTTTCTGCAAGGCCCTTGCACCGGCAGTCAGAGAACAACAGTTGCGTAACCTTCGGGTTCCCGGGGAACTTCATTGTTTACTTCCCGGGAACCAGCCCGTGCTATTATTCGGCGCAGCGCTGTGAGCACTGAGTAAGCAGAGCCCGGGGAGAACTTAGTCCTGAGAAAGCTCAGTCCGCTCCCTGGAGAGCTACGGGGGACCCTCTCCCGGCAAGGGCACTCTCTCAGAAATCTGGAACTCTCTCTTTGCTTACTCATGTTTATGACACACTGTTCCAACTTCCCCATCTTTGAGAGTTTAGCCTCTGGGATAAGGAATCAACTGATGAGTTCTCTCCCCTGCTCCCCCTCCCTCCCTCTAACAAACAGACTCCACCTGCCCACCTGAGCAATATGAAGATATCATTCATCGAGCCCGCCATTCTCCTAAACGCGTTTGCTATGACCCTGACCATCCCGCTGACCGCGCAGTACGTGTACCGGAGGATCTGGGAAGAAACCGGTAACTACACCTTTGCTTCCGGTAGCAATGTCTCTGAATGCGCGCAAAACAAGAGCGACCCGATCTTTGCATTCCGGGAGGTAAGGAATTAAAACCTCCCATCCTGTAGTCAACAGGGAATGGAAACCGGAGGCTCTCCAGGGTGTGACACCCCCTCCCCCCCTCCAACCTTTCTCCCTAAAAGCAGCTCAAATCAAGGGCCTTCTCTCAGTTCCCATTTCAGTTAATGGTTCCTCCTAACACCTTTAATCCGCCTCTTTCAAAAATCCCTCCGAGTGTAGGACCAGCTCTTTTCTCCTTAGGAAATCTCACGACAACCCGCATCCACCCTTCGCTGGTCTCTTGAGAACAAAACAAAAGTCTGAAAAATTGGACCAAGGCCTTTGACACCCATGGGGTTGGGCAGCATTTGTGGAGGTCAGGAGGCGGTGACAGGAGATAAGTGTCGAGTCACGTGCCCACATCTGGACTGGGTTGTGCTCACTTTGGCTCCCAATAGCCTGAAAATGTTTAGCTCGACATTATGGGGCCTGCCTCAGTTCTGTATGCGTCTGACAGAGCTATGTCATCACTCTGTTGGGGCCTGAGGCAGTCTTTGTCATGTGTGGGGGTGACATCAGAGGCTTTCCTACAGTGCCACATTCACAAGCTCAGGTCTGCTCTCCTTGGGGATTATTTTGTGGAAATAACAGAGTGGGCTGCTTTCGCAGTCACAGAGGAGAGGAGGTCGAGAGCTGCCTCCCCGGATCTGAGGGTCTCTGTGCAGGCAAATGAATCTGAGGTGGGGACATGGCAGAGGGCCCCAAGGGGAAGCCTGAAGTCACCCCAGCTGCCCCAAGGTATCAGGTTGAAGCTGGACGGGACAAGGTCCAGTTGCTTGGCCAACCCTGTCCTTGCTTCCTCATGCTGTGGGAGAATTTTCTTGGAACAGAGCATTTCTGACCGGCCATAGGGCCTGCACAGTCATAAAGAGAAGGGTAGGGGCCTCACCGAATGGTTTACTGCCCTCCACAGAGTGTCTCCTCAGGCCTGTAATCACAATACTCACGAGGCTGGGGGAGGAGGGTTGTGAGTTCAAGGCCAGCCTCAGCTACCCAGTTTCAAGGTAGCAACAAGAAGAATGATACAGTGGAAGGAAGGATAGATAGATGGATGGAAGAAACCAAGATCACATGACTATGATGCTGTGATGTCCAAGTTGGATTCCTCAGCTCTAAAAAAAAAAAAAAAAGTGTAACAATCTATCTCTCCGAGGAGTGAGAAAGTCCCGGGGACTTGTCATTTCTATGTTTGAGTCAGGGATTTCCTTCACTCCTCCCCAAGTGACAGGAGCAAGTCCCTTGATGCAGTGGGAGGAGCCTAGGGGGAAAGTACAGTGTTAGCCCCTCCAGACCTGGTTACTGACCAACTCCCTACCCCCATCCCCCATACACACTGCCTAGAGCAGTGTGGTCTCATTTAGATTTTAGCCAAGCTTTCAATTTGATTGTTTTTTTTCTTTTCTTTTCCTTTTTTGTTTTGTTTTCAATTGGACTGATATTCAAGAGACTGTCCTTATTCCAGGTCTTGTCCCCCAAAGTCGGTGCCCCGAGATTTTTGGTGCTTTCCTGAGGAGCAGGGAACTAGAGCCACCATACCTAGCCCTACCCTGCTGCGCACAGCTGGGACAGGACCAGACAAGAAGGGGCTGACAGCATCACTTTTGCCTCGATCACGTCCTTCTGGATGCTTTCCGGATGCTGCCCTTGTATGGCCTCAGAGAACATCCTCCTCCCTCTGAATCTGAGAGCCTTGTCCCCTGCTCAGAGCTTCCTTCTTTAGCAGCCAACTCTGTTGTGTGAGCTTGGCCCCTCAGTTTCCAAATGAGGGGGAGTTAGGGGTTTGTGTCCTGGTCACCCTGAAAATAAAGAGCCAGCCCTTTGGGAGGACTAGAAAAACAAAATTTCTTTCTTACCACCTAGCCCCCACTGTCCATTGAGTGTAAAATAAGATTGTGCATTATGACAGGAAGCCCTGCACTGCTAGGCCATAGTTGTTTGTCCTTCTTGTCCGAGTCTGTGTCTCTGTTGCTGTGATAAAACACTGACCAAAGCCGGGCGGTCGTGGTGCACATCTATAATCCCAGCACTCGGGAGGCAGAGGCAGGTGGATCTCAGTAAGTTCAAGGCCAGCCTGGTCTACAGAGCAAATTACTGGACAGCCAGGGCTACACAGAGAAAGCCTGTCTGGAAGGAAAAAACAAAACAAAACACTGACCAAAAAGCAACTTGGAAGAGGAGAGGGTTTATCTGGCTTACAGATTAGAGCCCATCATCTAGGGAAACCGAGGCAGAACCTGGAGGCAGGAACTGAAGAAGAGACCACGGAGACACCCATAGCTTGCTCAACTGCCTTCCTTACGCGACCTAGCCTGGCTGCCCAGGGATGGCACCTCCTACAGTCCTGGGCACAGGCCAATCTGATGGAGGTAATTCCTCAGCTGAGGTTCCCTCCTCCAAGCTGACTCCAGTCTGTGTCAAGTGGACAACTGAAGCCGACTGTAACACATCCCAAGAACAAACACACCCACGTGTGCCTGTGTGCAAGTGTGTAAGATGCTGTTTTACATTTCAGGGTGTGGAGAGAAGAAATGGAATGAAACTTGGTATGGTGGTGCATGGTCTGTAATTCTAGCATCTAGGGGGCAGAGGCGGGAAGATCATGAGTTCAAAGCCAACCTGGGAAACATAGTGAGTCATCCTGTCTCAATAATCCAAGGGCTGCTGAGGATATAACTTAATGACAGATAGCTTACTTGACATTCGAAAAGCCTCGGGTTCAGTCTTTGTCACCACAAAGTAAGTCATAATAAGCCTTATTGTAGTGAACATCTGTAATCTCAGCACTTGGGAGAGAGAAGCAGAAGGGTTACAAGTTCAAGACCAACTCAGGATCCATAAGGATACCTTGTCTCAACATATTAAAAATTAATTAAAGAATAAACTACACTCTCTCACCTATATTTGGTATTTGAAAATATATACTTTAATGAAAGTCTTATTTTCCAACCCTTTTTATTAACATACACATACACACACACACACACACACACACACACACACACACACACACATCTTAGTTAGGGTTTTTGTTTTGTTCTTGTTTTTAGTTTTTTGGTTTTTCGAGACAGGGTTTCTCTGTGTAGCTTTGCGCCTTTCCTGGAACTCATTTGGTAGTCCAGGCTGGCCTCGAACTCACAGAGATCCGCCTGGCTCTGCCTCCCGAGTGCTGGGATTAAAGGCGTGCACCACCACCGCCCGGCTAGTTAGGGTTTTATTGCAGTGAAGAGACACCATGACTACAACAGCTCTTATAAAGGAAAGCATTTAATTGGGGCTGGCTTACAGTTCAGAGTCTAGTCCATCATTGTCATAGCAGGAAGCATGGCAGCACACAGGCAGACATGTGCTGGAGAGGTAGCTGAGAGTTCTGCATCTGGATCCACAGGCAGCAGGAAGAGACAGTGAGCCCCTAGGCCCGGCTTGACCTTCTGAAACCTCAAAGCCCTCTCCTAGTGACACACTTCTCCAACAAGGGTGTATATTATTGAAGAATAATGCCACTCCCTATGAGTCTGTGGGGTCCATTTTTATTCAAACCACCATAATACACACACACACACACACACACACACACACACACACACACACACACACACGTAATATTGCTGAGACTAGAGGATAGCTAGAGGATAGCCATAAGCTAGTGGCCAGCCTGGGCTACCTAGCGAGACTTTGTCTCAAAACTTTATTTTTATCTTAATCTACTTTTTCAAAGTTCCAAGTTCTCAGAGCCTTGTGACTAGAGGGGTCACCTCTGCACCTTGTCAGTGGGGTTTATCTCCATGGGGACCTTATACAGTGGTGGGTGCCTTGGGCTAAGAAGTGAAGTAGTGGGGGATTCTAGCTGCGCTTGTTGACTGTTGAGGAAGAAGGAGTCTTCTAACAACTCACTACACCATTTTCTTGTCACGTGATCACCTCTCAAGAAGTAAATTGGTAACAGGAGTCTGTCCTGCAATTTTTTAAAAAGCTGTCTTTTTTTTTTTTTTTTTTTCGAGACAGGGTTTCTCTGTGTGGCTTTGCGCCTTTCCTGGAACTCGCTTGGTAGCCCAGGCTGGCCTCGAACTCACAGAGATCCGCCTGCCTTTAATCCCAGCACTCGGGAGGCAGAGGCAGGCGGATCTCTGTGAGTTCGAGGCCAGCCTGGGCTACCAAGCGAGTTCCAGGAAAAGGCGCAAAGCCACACAGAGAAACCCTGTCTCGAAAAACCAAAAAACAAAAAAAAAAGATGTCTTTTTTAAGTGTATGATTGTTTTGCCCGCATGTACGTCTGTGTACCACACACATGCAGCGCCCTCAGAGACCGGAAGAGAGCATCAGATTCCCTGAGACTGTAGTTACAGATGCTTGTGAGCCACCGTGTGGGTGCTGGGAGCTGAACCTGGGTCCTCTGAAACAGCAGCCAGTGCTCTAACCACTGAGCCATCCCTCCAACCCTTAGCTTGTGTCTTACGTCCCTGTTGTAACTTTGTTACCTTAGACTGCAGAGGAGGAGGTAGCTGTGAAGGACTGGGTGAGGAATAGCAGAAGCCAGCGGGAGACAGACACGGGTGGACCGATATAAAGCAGAAACCCCCTGGGAAAACCCGTTTGAGAAGATGACTTTGTTATTTATTTACTCAGGAAATATTTACGTGATGGCTACCGTAAGTACACAAAGGTGTGCGCATAAACAGGCAGGACTGAGTGCTGAACGAGGCCCCGGGGCTGGTGCCGGGCAACTCATATGCCTTTCAAGTGTCACCCTCCCAACAGCCTGCAAAGTAAGCCTTCATTCCCTCCCGTCAGAAGCAGCAGCAACAGACACAATAATTTGAAAATATCTTCTGTGGCCAGCAAGTGGCGGAGGCCTTATCTTCTTCAGTTTGTTCAGTACCCACCAAGAGCCTGCCTGTGCCCAGTACTGTCCTCAGAGATAGTCACACCGAGGGTGACAAGACGGAGCTCTTGCTCCCTCTGGGTTAGGTTATATTGCGGCAGAAAAGCTTTTTTTTTTTTCTTGGTTTTTTGAGACAGGGTTTCTCTGTGTAGCCCTGGCTGTCCTAGAACTTGCTCTATAGACCAGGCTAGCCTTGAACTCAGAGATCCACTTGCCTCTGCCTCCCAAATGTTGGTATTAAAGGCATGAGCTGCCACCTCCCAGCTACATTTTTTTATGGCTCATCGATTATTAGACTGCTTTCTGACAACGTGGGTCTTTTGCTCTTAACACATGGCCTGTCCCGTTGTAAAAACTGTGCATGAATTGGACAATAGTGAGACATGGCAGACACAGGATGTCTTTAAAAGAATTTTTAAATTATTTTTTATGTGTATGGGTGTTTTGCCTGCATGTATGTATGTGCGCCATGTGCATGCCTGGTGACTGTGGAGGCCCGAAGAAGTCATTAGATCCCCTAGAACTGGACTTACAGACAATTGTGAGTCACCACGTGGGTGATGGGACCAAACCTGGATCCTCTGCAAGAGCAGCCAGTGCTCCTAGCCACTGCACCACATCTCCAGCCCCACAGGTATCTTTAACTAGCCCCGAGTTCTTCCCATCAAATGGTTGCCGTAAGGACTGTCACAGCTCCCCACGTGTGTGCCCTCTTCTCCACCATCATTCCTTGCTCAGTCCACAGACGGCAGCTGTCTGGAGCAATCCAAGACTCTTCCACTGCATCTGTCTTACTACTTCTTTAGTCAGTGGAGGACTCTTTTCTCACTAGTCTGTCTGTGGACACAAAGATTAAAAGGGAGCTGAGCTCTGCCTTTTTAGAATCTACCAAGCAAATGTATGTGAACTGTTTGCTCCCCGCAGTAGCCTAGGCAGGAAGACCCGTCACAGCAAGGGCCATCACCCAGGCTGTAGAACTGGAATCAGTGCAGATAGTTCGCGGGGTAGGGGAGGGAAACTAGCGTTCCATTGCTATCACCAGAGTCTGTGACCTGCACATGTCCTTTGTATAAACAGATACACCGATGCATGCATTTTTTTTGCATTTTTTTCTTCTTATACCTTCGAGTCTCTACCATGAGTGGTGTGTAGATATCATGACAAAGTCTGGGTATGTAACCTTCTGACATATGCTATATGAACGGCGTGAAAACTTAATTGGTATTGTCCCCCCACATACCCGAGGCCGCCCATTCACCACCAGCGGCAATATCAAGGGATCATACACTGCAATCTTTTTCCTGGCCGTCGCATCTGTAAACACTTTGTCTTTGTCCTTGCAGGAAGTCCAGAAAAAGGCTTCTCTCTTCAGCCTGCAGGTGGAAATGAGCGGGTTAATTCCTGCTCTGGTGTCCACCTTCCTGCTTTTGTCCAGCAGCGACAGCCATGGACGGAAACTCCCCATGGTTCTGTCCTCTCTTGGCTCTCTAGGAACCAACATTTGGCTGTGTGTGCTGTCCTACTTCAAGCTTCCACTCCAGCTTCTGATGGCATCCACCTTCATGGGTGCCCTCTTCGGGAATTACACCACGTTTTGGGGCGCTTGCTTTGCCTACATTGTGGATCAGTGTAAAGAATACAAGCAGAAAATCATTCGAATAGCCATCCTGGATTTTATGCTTGGAGTCGTTACTGGGCTAACGGGTCTGTTATCTGGCTATTTTATCCAAGAACTGGGTTTTGTGTGGTCCTATTTCATCATTGCCGTAGTTCTTACGGTCAACCTGACCTACATCGCATTTTTCCTCAGTGATCCCATAAGGGAGTCTTCATCTCAGATTGTCACTATGTCCTGTAGGGAAAGCCTCAAGGATCTATTTTACCGGACTTACATGCTTTTTAAAAATGGCTCCAGTAAGCGACGATCTTTGCTCTGTCTGCTGATTTTTACCATTGTCATTTATTTTTTTGTGATAATTGGCATTTTCCCGATTTTTACGCTTTATGAGCTGGGCTCTCCACTCTGCTGGGATGAGGTTTATATAGGCTACGGTACAGCTTTGGGCAGTCTCTCCTTTTTGAGTAGTTTCCTCGGCATATGGCTTTTTTCCTACTGCTTGAAGGATCTTCACATCACCTTTATTGGCATTCTTACCACCATGGTGGGAATGATCCTAGCTGCTTTCACGAGGACCACTCTCATGATGTTTTTAGGTGAGTTTACAAATATGTTTGATTTTGTTTTTATAAAGTGGGAGGAGGGGATTACACTTAATATAAAGCTCTCTATGAACCCATTCTATTTCAATTTAAAGCAAACAGCCAGCTTGCCAGAAGTCAGTAATTAAAATGCCAGATGGAATCATCACGATTTTCCAAATTTGCGTATTTGCCAAAAATATGTTGAGGGACATTCTTGGTGTGACTCAGTTCTTGAGTGTAGCTTTTACTGAAATGAGTGTTCCTTAGAAGGCTGTGTTGGAACAGGAGACAAAACTGTAATGTGGATTTTTGGTCCAAGCCAGCTGTTTCGACCATGGAGGTAGGTAGTAAGCTATTGCCACTGACTGGAGGCACAATTTGAAGAATCAGAATCAGGCTCGATTTCCACCTCTCCCACTGGGTGACCTTGGCGAGTTCATTCCTCTGAACCCTTCATTTTCTCCTTGTGCAACACACACTGGAAAGCTTCATTCAGGTTTTATAACGAGTCTTGGAGAACTAGGAAGCACTTTGCACAGTGCCTTTTAGACAGTAGGAGCCACATCCCTGTTCCACGAGACACATTAAGTCAACATATGCAAATACTCTGGAAACTGTAAATGTACTATTTGCAAAAGCAAATGCCATTATTTTATAGTATGACTAAAAATGACTCAATTAAGAAGCATGACTTAAATCTGGTGATAGTGGCACACGCCTTTAATCCCAGCATCTGGGAGGCAGAGGCAAGGGAATCTCTGTGAGTTTGAGGCCAGCTTGGTTTACAAAGGGAGTTCCAGGTTAGCCAGGGCTGCATAGTGATAGTGAGACCCTGTTTCTCATATATATATATACACACACACATACATACACACACACATATATATACATTCAGTATGCATTTATCATATGTATATATCATGATACAAATCACATATACATCATAATTTAAGAACAAAAGCAATTGTGTTCATGTGTCAAAAAATGAACCAACAAGATGATAAAGAGCCAGTTTACCTGTAAAGGAATCCTTACAGTAGGAAATAAGAGCCCCAAGAATGTAAAGGCCAAAGAACAAAAACCGTATAAAAGGAGCTGGAGAGATGGCTGAGCGGTTAAGAGGTACTGCCCTTATGGAGGAGCAGAGTTCAGTTCCCTGGCTCACAACCATCTTAACTCCAGGTTCAGGGGATCTAGCACCCTCTTCTGGCCCCCATGAGCATACACATATACATGGGACACACACACATACATGCACACACACACACAACTAACAAAAATGAAAATAATAAATATTTCTCAAACAGGTAAAAGCTAATTAGAAGTCAAAACTTGATAAATAAATTATTACATCCTTAGGAAAACAGGCAAATGGGTCTCATCTGGACCAAAACACTCATGAGTAGTATTTGTAGGACCCAAACCAGAATGCTAGAATAAAGCAAACTCCAAATGGCCAGTCAGTAGTCTGTTCATTTACTAGGCAAAACTACGGGTAGCTGGATCTTCAGCTAGTGAGTCGGGCTGCTCATAGGAAAGGATGTTTAGACAGGACAGCATCCTGACTTACCCTGATTTGACTACTTCTCGGGTCTTCTGTTCATCTCACAGTCAGGATCCCATTCTTTTTCACCTTCATGCCGCTCTCTGTCCTGAGGTCCATGCTGTCAAAGGTGGTCCACTCGACTGAACAAGGTGAGTTGACTCTGGAGACTATGACAGACGTTCCGACTTCACTCGATTCTGGCAGCGTCTGAGCCGCCAATAACCCCCTTTCTTCCAGGGTCTCCTTTTGAAGGAAGTGCTAAGCTTTGGTAGGAAAGCTTTACATTCAGGCAGAGGGGGCCCTGCTTAGGGGCCCTGATTTAGAGGGCTTCTCTGGCCTTGTCTCGGCCAGAAGAAGAAAGGAGACCTCAGAGTCAAGGGCTCTCTCCACTGCGAACCTACAGCACTCCTGGCTAGCTGAGCCACTCTGGTTCATGTCTACCGAGTGCTTGGATGATCCTCTTCTGCGGACCATGCCCAGACCCCATGTGCTCCCTTTCCACCAAAGAGGGGTCCAATGGGTGACTTCATAGGCAGGTCCGTTCTGACCTTGGAGTTGGACAGCACCCAGGTGTGCACACCCAGGTGTGAAGGACCCCTTCTGAGGCAGACAGCAAGGGGAAGTCAAATGGTGTGGGTCGCAGGCTGGGGACGCTCTCACTGTTGTCCAGTTTCTACATGGAACTCTTAAAAAGCCTGGGAATTCTGTGTTTCCATCTGGCCTTCCTCAGTATAGAGACACATCACACTAATCCCTAGCCGTTTGTTAGCTGTATTTACAACATCTAAATGCAGCTGTCACTTTATGTCTGACGGGGAAGGTTCCAGAGCCCCTCACAGACACCAATATTCTGAACAAGTTACAGTGGCATATGTGTGAAATTTTCAGTCAAACTCATTATTTTGCACACTAAACAAAAAAAAATGCATGAAAATAATTAAAACAGGTTTAAACTGGATAGTATTTGCATATCATTTACACATAACCCCTAAACTTTAACCTCTCTAGATGACCCATAATACCTCAGATGAGACAGATTTTGTAAACAGTCATTTTATTGTGTTGTTTAGGGAATAATGACAAGGAAAAAAAAAGTCTGTGCGTGTTTGGTGCCTAACTGTCGGTTTGGTGGGTGGTCAGCAGACACAGGGGGCCATCCGTGCTTAGAAGGTGATAGGGACCTTCAGTTACATTCTTGCACTGGGTCCCAGAAAGGCTTTCTTCTGGACCTGAATCTGAGGCCACGCTGGAAACACAGAGCCCAGGGGATTCCATGGAAGGTAATGCAGAGGAACGGGCAGTGTGGAGGCAGCCAGAGAGGTGGCCCAGACAGGCAGAAAAGATACATCATAACCTAGCTCTGTTCTGTTCCTTTGACCAAGTGCTCAGCAAGGTGGCCAGCAAGGAAGCCCCCAAACACGACGAGAGCAGGGGAGCCAAGAGCTCCAGAGGTGCAGGCAAAGAATCACCACAAGGAGTAGATAAGAACAGCCGCTACTAGGTATTGGCGTATGGTGCCGGCCTCGCTCAGCAGCCTGCAGGTATCATCAGACTCCGGTACTTTCCGGTCTCATATTTTAGCCTTGTGTCGACGTCCTTACATGAGTGTTTATGAATCGCTTCTAATAGCGCACTTGTATTTGCGTGAGTCTGGTCAATGCTGAGGAAAACTGCATACTTCAGTCAGTCTTAAAATCTCATTACGGGTTCTTGGCCCCTCGTAAATGGAAGCTGTGTCCTCTCCAAGCCGTTCATAAACTGTGTCATAATGGCTATCTCAAGAGCACTTAAGAATAGAAGACTCTGAAAGGGTGCCGTGGAGAAACAGACCTTCGCCCTTGGCTTCGGTGTTTCTTTGATGGGATGCCAAGGGAACAGCAACAAAAGGAAAACGATGTAGCTAAGGGGCGGAGAGATGGCTCCGTGCTTGAGAGCACTGACTGCTCTTGCAGAGGACCTGAGTTCTGTTCTCACCTCCACGTCGTGACTCACAACCATCTGTAACTCCAGCGCCAGGGATCCAATACCTTCTTCTGGCCTCCAGGAGCACCAGGCTTGCACACGGTGCACATCCATAACCTGCGGGCCAATGCTCATACACATAAAATAAATCTGAAAATAATAGTTATCTTGTTCCTACCTCTGAACTCCGAGGTACTTTAGATAGTGGCCACATTTTCATACCTCAATATATACTCATTCTTTATTTTTTTCTAAATACTTACTTTATGAAAATATGATGCACTTTAGAGTAGTCACGGGAGACGGGACACACCACGGGGCCACCAGGCGCCACTCACTCTCTGCTAGCTCAACTCTGACAGTTCAGAGGCTGGGGCATAGCTCTGCGGGAGAGCACACACTTGAATAACTAGAAGGGAGAGGAAACAGCACTTCGGTGATGTTTCTGAAAATGCCTGTGTTTTCTAACAATCTCGTGTCCTGGACCAGCTGTCTTGCTTTGGCACGGCTCACAAACTCATGCTGAGTATAAATAGGGACACAATAAAACAGGCTGGAGATTTGAGTTGCTTGATTTTTTTTTTTTTTTGAGTCTAGAAAGTACACTCATTCAGGTGCATTTGATCCAGCTTATCTCTGTATCTACTTAACAGGTTGGGTTGCCCAGGGAAGTCGAGAACAAGCTACCGCTCTTCCACAGCAGCATGTTGTGTGAGACAGACGGCACCCAGCCCAACCTATTTATCTTAGGGAACGGATGGGTCCCCTAGCCACCAGAACCAGCAGTGTCCAGTCTGTTTTGTGTACCGTAGTACTATTCTTGGGCATAGCAAGGAACACAAAGAAAATATTGTAACTAAGCAAGTAGGGAAGCCAGTTAACCTGAATCCTTGCATCACCGTAAATCATGAAGGCAGTACATGCTACCGGGTGATTGATGGGTATGGAGTCCTGAGTTAAACTTCACTCATTCATTTGACGTGCTTGTTAAATGGCTGCCATGCACCAGGACAACTGGGCCCTGAGGACATCAGAGCAAGCAGAACAGCTGTGTGCGTGGAATTGACAGAGCTGTGGCTCGGTCAGAAGGAGACACATAAATGTCCACACAGAATTTCCTGTCCATAGCTAGATTCCGGTCTGATGCAACAGCTGGAATTGAGGCCGTGGGAGGAGACACTGCAGTCTCCAAAAGAGTCAGCTGATGGTACCTGTGTCAGCCTTCCGCCGTAGACATTGGAGCTTAGCTATTTGGGGTCTTCAACATCTCTCCCATCAAGTCCACAGAGAGCACCTTGCTTCAGATTCTTCATCTGCAAAATGGGTTGGTTACTTCTCAGGGTTTTGTTGTTTGAGACAAGCTCTCAAGCGAAGAATGACCTTGAATTTCTGATTCTCCTGCCTTTGCCTCTTGAGTGTTGGGAATACAAGTGTGTACCACCACACCTGTTTTGTGCTGTGCTGGGGGGATCGAACCCCGGGGTTTCTCTGTGTGTAACCCTGGCTGTCATGGAACTCACTTTGTAGACCAGGCTGGCCTCGAACTCATAGAGATCCGCCTGGCTCTGCCTCCCGAGTGCTGGGATTAAAGGCGTGCGCCACCACTGCTCAGCTCCAGGACTGTTTTCAAGGAACAGTTCTCTTGTTTCTCTTTTGACTGATGTTTTGTAATTCCACCTTTTTCCTTTTCTTCCTCCCTCCACACCCCAGGTGCGTTGTTCGCTTGCATAGCTTTCCTAGAAACACTGGGTGGAGTCGCCTCGACCTCGGCTTACAACGGTATTTATTCAGCCACTGTCGCTTGGTACCCTGGCTTCATTTTTCTGCTGTCTGCCGGCCTCCTCATCCTCCCAGTCATCAGTCTATGGTAGGTATCTCATCATTTTATCAAAGGGCATATGGGTTAAATGAATCTTCTAACTCTGTGTGCAAAATGACACAGATTCTTGACATTTGCCTTGGAGGACTATTTGCTAGAGAATTGTTGGTCACGAATACACCCGTCAATAATTTGAGACCTTAGAATGAGAGTGTCATTGGCCATTGAGAACTAAGGGGGAATGGCCTTAGGTCACAGATGTATGGAAGGCATTTTATGGGGACTCTTAAGAATAGTATCTTGGGGGTGTAGGAGAGAGAAAAAACTTGTTTATTTGATTAATTTTAGAACACTATACATAATGAGTCAGTGAAGTTCAAAATGCCGGGACGGGATATGCCTGTTACACAGAACTTGTATAATTTATTAAAAGCCAGGTATGGCTGGACAGGACAGAAGCTTGGTTACTTATGGATCTTTTAACCCCTTCCCAATGCTTGTTTGATTTTGTAGGGCTGTCAAGTGCATTGGCTGGGAAGAGGGAAGCTACACAATGTTCGTCCCGGAAGAGCCTTGTGAGCACTCGTCAGACTGAGGACATTCAGCAGTAATGCACAGGTCACATCCAGGACGCCAGAAGAACACACAGCCCACAACCAGTATTTCATTCGCAATCTGTGTCAAAAGGTCCTTTTTCCTAAATGGAGTGAGCTGTAAGGCGGCAGCGCCTGGCTCTGCTGCTTCTGGGGCCACCTATCACCCCGTGTTCTTCAGTACAGCCAAGACCAGCCCCAGCGCCTCCTTACCTCTCCTTTGACCAGAGAAAGTGGAGTGCAGAGGAGGGCTTGGGAAACTGCAATAAGACTTGAATCAATAATCTAACTGACATGCTCCAGCCTCTCATGTGGAAACCAAGGAGTCCCAACCCCAGTCCATCTGCACAGTGGGCTTCTGACTGCTCAGGGATTTTGAAGACATTTTATGCTGAATAATCACTGATATGAAAATAACGTTCCAGGCAATAATAATTCTTTCTATACTTGACTGACGCTGGAAGATCCTATCAAGGCTCTATTGATGGATGCAAAAATCCTTGAAGAGAAGCACTTTTTAAAATATGCATTTTTCACTTTTCCTAATGTTTTAATTCAGTGACAAGCTTGGTTTTTATATGTAATAGGGAGTGAGTACAAATTCATATTATAAAGAAAACTATCTTAAATTTTAAAACTGAGCAGGCAGCTCACTGTGTATAAGGTCAGTCTTACCTTGCAGTCTGCTCTCGCTCCCTGGCTGGGTAGAAGGCTGTCATGGCCCACAAACCCGGGCTGGCTTTCCCACCTCTCACTGTTCTTACTTCCTCTAGCTCAGGCTCCACACTGTGCTGAGAAGGATGCTTCTAAAACACAGATCTTTTCTTTTCCAGCTAGAATCCTTCAGCAACTGTTGCTCATTAGGCAATTAGGCAAGCATGTGACCACAGCCTGATCCCGCCCCATCCCGTGTCACACCACATTACACCCACGCTTATTTCCACCCTCGATCCCCAAACACCGTGTCTCCTTTTGACATTAAGTTACAGCTTTAATGGTCTATGAAGTTCATCTGTCCTTCCTCTCCTGTTTCATTAAAACTGCCATGTGTCAGCCAAAACATTGTTTTCCCAGTGCAGCCAGGGTTCTTGACATTTATCACCCATCCCTCAATCTCTGCAGGTTTTCCACAGCCCTTTGTATAAACAAGGATTCCATCTAGGGGCTGGAGAGATGGCTCAGAGGTTAAGAGCACTGCCTGCTCTTCCAGAGGTCCTGAGTTCAACTCCCAGCACCCACATGGTGGCTCACAACCATCTCTAGTGGGATCTGATGCCCTCTTCTGGCATAAAGTTGTAAATGCAGATAAAGCACTCATAAACATAAATAATAAAAAAAAATTTTTAAAGGAATTTCATCTAGCATTTTCCGCTGGATTTTTTTAAACATTTATTTTTATGTGTATGAATGCTTGCACAGTATGTCCCTGCACCACGTGCACGCAGTGCCCACAGAGTCCAGAAGAGGGCGCTGTGCCCCCTGGAACTGGAGTTACAGATGCTTGTGAGCCATCATGTGGGTGCTAGGACTGAACCCAGGTCCTCTGCAAAAGCAGTCAGTGCTCTAACCATCTCTCCAGCCCAAGATTCTATTTGTTCCCCCCACAGGTCTTCTTGAGGACAGGGACAGTCTTTGCTCACGACATGCTCAGTAAATGTTGCGCAACTGAATTTGATGACCACAATTCCTTTTATTCGTAAGAACTGTTCAAAGTTACAGCTTTAATGGTCTATGAAGTCACCACTCCCTACGGTTACTAAGCTAAACCTGCAAACAAACTGAAAAGTGTTGGGCTGTGCACCTTTCAAGTTGATTATCTTGTTTCCATGGGTTACTCAACACCTTCCATTTTTTCTTTTCTTTTCCTGTGTGTGCAGGTGTGTGTGTACGTGTTTGTGCCTGTGGAGGCCATGAGATAACTATGGCTGTTGTTCCTCAGTCACCACCCACTCTGGTGTCTTGAGAATTGTCTGTCTGTGTCCTCTCTAAGGAGCCTGGGCTGGCTGGCCAGTGAGTCTCCACCTCCCCAGAGCTGGGACTCCAAGTCACACTGCCGGGCTCCCTTTTAATGAGTTCTGAGGGACTGAACTCAGGGCTTCTTGTTGGCAAGGCAAGCACTGTTACTGACTGAGCTGTCCCAGCCCCTTTACCATATTTTGCTTTTCTCTCTCTGTCTCTCTCTGTCTCTCTCTCTCTCTCTCTCTCTCTCTCTCTCTCTCTCTCTCTCTCTCTCTCTCTCTCAAATTTAACTTCTTTATTGATTCTTTGGGAGTTTCACATCATGCACCCCAATTCCACTCACCTACCTGTAACACAAATTCTAATTGGTCTTTATAATAAAAACCCAGAGTCAGATCTCAGGGTGAAAGCTGAAAGAACAGAGCAGCCAGCCACTAGAGAGACTTCTTACCTCCAGGAATCCTCTGACAGAAAGGGGCTGAGCTCCTGTCTCTACCCTGCCTTATCACTTCCTCTCTCCACTCAGCTCTATCACTTCTGTTTCCTCCTCCCAAGTGCTTTGATTGAAGGTGTGTGCCACCACTGCCTGGCCTCTAGTGGCTAGCTCCGCACTCTGATCTCCAGGCAAGCTTTATTTGTTAGAGCACAAACAAAATATCACCATATTCCCCCTTTTTGTATAAAATAAAAAGAATGTAATAATTCATACAAGAAAAACTATATACAATAAGTACAATAACTTTATAATATATACAAGCAATAATTACATTAACAATGTCTAGTCCATTAACAATTGACAAATTCAGAGAAAATATTCCACATCTATCCTATCTTGATGAGTCCAAAAGTTTGTACCTAATTTACTTTCTATTCTAATTTTCAGTACCAAAACTATCTTTTAATGTCTCTCAACCTTATATACTTTATACCTCTTTAGTTAATTTCTTTTCTGAATCTGGTAACAAGGAAAACTATAACTATAAAGTCTTCAATTCCATCAGAGACCCGAAAAGGAAATAATACTACCCGAGTAAGCAGGAAGTGCAAGCAAGCAACTTCTAAAACATGTGAGAAATGACAGAAACAGCTGGCTGCCTGAATAGTCACCCAAGTTTCCTCTGTAACATTGGGGCATCCATCTTCAGCCCAATGGCCTAGCATATCTGACAGACTCATCTGTGAATCAGGATATTCTAAAGGACTCTCCTACCTTGTCTTGGCAAAGTTCAACAGCCACTTTCTTTTGTGTCGTGCTTGTCCAGTTTGAACGCACACTGTCAGCACCTCCCAGTCCCCCCATAGCCTCCCTTCACCCCTGCAGCGCAGCCTCACAAAAGAAAACAAAACAAAGCAAGCAAAACGAAAACAAGAACAAACTAAACAACAGTAACAAAAAGCCTCTTCTCTTTTTCTTCTCCAACACCTCCTTATTCGCCCTGGTCCTCTACCACATTTCAGAGTTGTGCATAATGACACAGATGCCATGATGTTTCCTGTAACTGAGGAAAAGCACTTTATGGTTTACAAAGTCCACTCTACCAACCTGTTATATTCTTAGTCATTTCCCGCACGTGACAGAGGAGGACATTTGGATGGACTGTGATCCTTCTACAACAGCAGTCTATGCAGACGGACTGGACACTAAGATGAAACGCTAAGAAGTGTCGTCACTGCTTGGGTGTGCATGCTTGTATCCAAAAGCAAGAACTGCACAATGAGCAGCGGGAAGAGCCTATGAAAACCGCATCAGCGGGGATGGGGGTGTGCCCAGTGGCAGGGCACTTGCCTACTGGGTGCAAGGCCCTGTATTGGATCCCAACACTGCAAATGGGCAAAAATGCGTCCGCCCAACCTTAGCTGTCCTCACCTGAGCAGTCAGTCCACAGTGACTACCTGTTCTCAGGTTCCTCGTGGCTTTACCCAGCAGGTCCGCATAGAGGATGATTAGACCACGGGCCTGAGTGCAGGTGTCTGGGATGGTCTGCACTTGGCTGTGCTGGGGGAGGAGGTCTTTTGCTCCACCCCTTGGCGTCTCTATAACCCTGGGGCAGAGACAGTCAGGGCCCGTTGGAAAAGGTTCCAGGCCCTCTCGAGGCTATCCTTTATTTTCTATCTGTTTATCTCCGCGATATTCTCCGCAATAAATCCTTCTATCTAATATTTCCTGCTGCTCGCACTCAAGAAAACTCTGGGGAACTGTGGGGGTGGTTGGGTAAATGCCCCACAGTTCTCAAGACTAGACATGATTTTAAGTCACAACTCTCATTTTTATTTCTTAAAATTTATTATTTTATGTGCATTGGCTTTTGCCTGCATGTATGTATATGTCTGTGTGAGGGTGTCAGGTCCCCAGAACTGGAGTTAAGAGTTTTGAGTTGCCATGTGGTGCTGGGAACTGAACCCAGGTCCTCTGGAATCGCAGCCAGTTCTCTTAACCACTGAGCCAGTGTTCCAGCCCTCTGCAGGATGATCTTAATATAGCTAAGGGTCAATAGATAGCTTCTTGGATGAGCAGAAACCTACTTTGAGTGTAGTGTTTTGAGGGACTCGACTGCTAGTCCAGGGTCAAAAATAGATCATGAGTAAATGCAGCCACCTCCAACATGTCTGTCTGAAGAGGCATTAAATATGATGCTGAGGTTAGAGAGATACAAAGTTGATGGAATGGGGGGATATACTCAGATGGAAATGAAGTTCTCAGTGAAAGTAGATGAGTTGGGGTAGCGGGTGTTAATGGAGCTGGGAAACATGAGAGAGACAAATATGTTTTCTCCCATGTATAGACTCTAGATTTACATGTAAAAAAGATGAAGTATTTGAATGTAGGCAGGGAGAGGAGAGGGCAAGACAAGAATATGAAGGACATTGAAACACTGGTCAAACCTACCATCTTAAAACATGTCAATACATAAATAGTACAAATTTTACAAGGAGCTGGGTGGTGGTGGAGCATGCCTTTAATCCTAGCACTCAAGAGGCAGAGGCAGGTGGATCTCTGTGAGTTCGAGGCCAGTCTGGGCTACAGAGTGAGTTCTAGGACAGCCAGGGCTATGCAGAGAAACCCTGTCTCAAAAAACAGGAGCTGAAGAGATGGCTCAGCAGTTAAGAGGACCTGGGTTCAATTCCCAGTACCCTATGTTCACAACCCTATGGTCATAACCATCTGTAACTTGGTGCAGGGGATCCATCACTTTCTTCTGGCCTCCTCAGGTACTGCACACACATGGTGCACATACACACATACAGGCAAACACTCATACATATCAAAGGAAGAAAACACTCCTTTGGTTCAGCAGTATAGAAAAAGGTGGGTTGTCTCACATCTCCTGAATAGGCTCTTGTCTTCGGAAAGGAACATTTGTTTCCAGGCTATGACACTCACTCACATAATTGTACAACCACCCATGACCTTCTTCACAATCTTTTCATCCATCTCTCTACAGCACCATTTTAGCTCAATGGCTTGTTACCTATAGTCAAAGTTCAAAAATATGAATGTCTTGCCTTGAGACCCAGTTACAAGATTTTATTCCAAGATATTGCAGCCATTGCTTTAGTTTATTACCATCTGTTAGCTGTAACAGCTATTGCTGTTGACCTTTTACTTTGTAAATTAATTATCAACTAATGTACTTTGTAAATTAATAATAATCTTTAATTTGTAAATTAATTATCACAGGCATAGTTTTTGGGGAAAAACAGAGTTAGGTAATGTCCTCAGTTTCAGACATCCACTAGAGGTCCTGGAATGGGTCTCCATGGACCAAGGGACTGATGGATCATTAAATGATGAGCTTGATAACAACGGTAGATAGAGCCTTGGGCTCAGTGTTCTTCTAAAGAAATGCCTTGCTCTGGATATCTAAATTCAGTAGACCCCCAATAGGATCTTGCAATCTACTTTTGAAACCAACCCAGGGCTGGCAAGATGGCTCCCCAGGTAAACATGCTTGCCACCAAGACCCAAATGGTAGGAGAGAACTGACTCCTACAAGTTGTCCTCTGACCTCCATACAGACGCTGTGGTACACACATAATAAATAGTACTAAATTTAAAAGATGTTTTTGAGAACTTCATGCAGTATATTTTGATCAAACTCAACACCCCCAAATTCCTCCCCAGACCCACTGTCTCCACCCTTCCCTCCCTACCCAACCAACTTCAGACTTGTTTTCTTGCTTTTAAACCCTTAGAGTTCAATGTTTCCCGCTACTCTTGGGAGTGGGGTCTGCCCTGGAGCGTGGTGCTCCTAGCAGGGGTCACACGTTTCAAGAAACGGAATCCCTCTCCTAGCAGCCACTGAGCTAGTGGTGAGGTTCCATGGCCACACCCCACCTTCCTCCACACTAGACTGTCTGCCTTGAGTTTGCACAGGCCTTTCATGCTTCAGAGTTCCTGTGCACAACTGCACTGTTTTGTCTAAAAACACTGTTTCTTTCCTTGAACATGTCAGAGGTGATTGGCACGGCCCCCAATAAAAATAAAGGGGGGCCACACCCACTTCATAGGGACTAATGAATGCAGCAAGCCTATCTGCCTTTCTGGAGGCAGGAGTGAACACCTGTGTATGGTCAAGGGAAAGGCCATTTGCTAAACCCCCAGTTCTGTGTGTTAAAACCCAACTCCTTGTCACACCCCTACTGTGTATGCTTCTCCTTTGTCCCGAATGCTCTGATGAATTTTAATCAAATACTAATACTGTGGTCCTCCCTCCCCCAACCTCAATTTCCCTGAGGGAGAGGGGCTGTGAGTTAATAATGAGCTTCCACGGAAATCCCTCAGGAGCAACTGATGCTCTCAGTCTCTTCCTCCTGGCTGTTTATCTGTCCTTTAGGATATCCTTTTTAGCAAAGGACAGTATTGTGAGCTATGCTTGCAAATCACTGAACCTGAGGGGGCATAGGAAACCATTTGTACCCGGTCCGTCGTTAGCACAACTCACAGTGGAGTACTCATGATCGATGCCTGACCCAGGGGCAGTGTTGTAGGACAGGGCCCTTACCTGGCCCTAACTCCTTGTCAACACTCAAAACAGAGTGGAATTACAGGACAGCTTGTCAGTGTATGCCAGAGAATCACTTGGTGTTGGAAGTACTGAGTACAAAGCCCTTTTCCAGCAGATCTGGAACATTCCCGTAAAGGGCCTTGAACATGAAGATTGGTAACTCAGAAGCAGAACGGTGGCAAGGAAAACACAAAACCGTTCTCCAACAGCGTCAGAGCATCTAAGAGGAAAACCGCAGAGGGATATGCGAATTTCAGGGAACCCAAATGGTTTCTCAACTCCAAACAAGCACCGTGGACTCTAGACTGGGACCCATCAGCACGCTTTGCTGTTCAGCTTTACACTACTCATCGGCAGCTTTCTTAGGACACAGAAGGCTACATTTTAATATAAATAAGGAGTCTTCAATGCAGGGTGAGCCTGGCGGCAGCACACACCTTTGATCCCAACACTCAGGGGACAGAGGCAGGCAGATCTCCGAGTTCAAGGCCAGCCTGGTCAACAGAGAGAGATCCAGGACAGCCAGGTCTACACAGAGAAACTCGTGTCTTGAAAAATAAAACAAGCACCGGGCAGTGGTGGTGCACGCCTTTAATCCCAGCACTCGGGAGGTAGAGCCAGGCGGATCTCTGTGAGTTCAAGGCCAGCCTGGGCTACCAAGTGAGTTCCAGGAAAGGCGCAAAGATACACAGAGAAACCCTGTCTTGAAAAACCAAAAAAAAAAAAAAAAAAAAAAAAGAAAAGAAATTCTTCGTGTCACTTGACCACAAACACATCTTGTGCACTGCACATGTCCAGCTGCATTCCCCATTTCATCCATCAATGCCAGCAGCAGCCCAGACTAAAAGCTGACACCCAAACTATCTGCAGACATTGTATTCCTAAAAAGTCAATAACCAAAACATGTCAGAACTAGTAAAAAAAAAAAGATCCATTTACTAATGTTCTGAAAAATTTGGGAGGGGGGGTTGTTTTTAGACAAGGTCTCACTGTATACCTGTGGCTGGTCTGGACCTACATACACACCTGGCTGGCCTCAAACTCAGAGATCCCCCTGCCTCTGCCTCCCCCATGCTGTGATTAAAGGTGTGTGCCACCACTAGTTTTTATAGACCAGGTCCATGAACAATATTTTTAAGAACCATCATGTTGAAATTGTATTTAAGTAAGTATGGAATTATTCATGGATGTATAATAGGAATATTCTAATAATTTAAAAACAAGTCTGTATCTTGATTGTAACTTAAGCGGCATGCTTTTCTTCAACAGAACATTGTTTGGTAATCTAAAATACAAAGTAAATCTGTGAAAGACAATAGTTCAATCTACATGCCCTGGTTGCTCTATCTAATTTCTCATATAAAAAGACCAAAATCTCTGAACTTAAACTTTTCAACATGAAAGAGTACTGAGCTATAACTCTAAGATGTAAGTGCCATCCTACAGGGCAGGGCTGCGCTCAGTCCTGGGTCTGCCAAACCTGATCACAAATGTCAAGGAGGCACCTGGGAACTCCGTAGGCTCAAATACTAATACTGAGCCAGGTGGTGGCGCACGCCTTTAAGCTCAGCACTCGGGAGGCAGAGGCAGGCAGATCTCTGAGAGTTTGAGGCCAGCCTGGGCTAGATAACAGAGAGACTCTGTCTCAAAAAAAAAAAAAAAAACAAAACAAAAAAAACACCCAACAAAAACTCTATCTAAAATGAAGTAGTTTACAGAAAGAGGAAAAAGCAGGCTGAATGGACGCTGTGGAGTTTGTAACATTTAGGAGAAACACGTTTTCAGAACCTGGGAACCTGGGCTTTGCTGTAACCTCAGAGCTCAGAACCCACCTCCAGGCTTTCAACCAACTCACGACCCAAAACTAAAGAGCCAACACTTTCAAATGACCGAGTACTTTAATGTGTCCGTCAGACTGGGGGAGGCAGCTACACAGTGCGCTTCCATGGTTCCTGCACAGCACTGCTCTACAGCAAACCTAGCTTGTACTCCACCATCAAGTGCGGCTCGCCCATCAGTTCACTCTGTGATGGATCTGAAAAGAAACCAAAACAGATTCCGTAAATGACTCTCCAGACACAGATGCTAAGTTCCGGGGTCAGCATATGAGCATCTGTGACAGTCAAAACCAACCCAGTATGACAACAGGCAGGCTGTCTGAGGCTGGAGCGGAGAACAGACTGAAGGGACCAAGGGAACTTGGGGTGTGCAATAAAACAATTCTGTATCTTGATTGAGGGGACCCAGCTACACGCATTTGTAAAGGAGAGAACTGTCCACCTAAAAATGGATCCACCCAATAGCATATCAATCCTATCTCATATAAGTGACTTAAAAAGAAAAGAACAGGGCTGGAGAGATGGCTAAGCAGTTAAGAGTACCAGCTGCCCTTCCGGAGGACCCAGGTTCAATTCCCAGAACCCACATGGAGGCTCAGAACTGTCTGTAACTCCCACTGTAGGGATCTGCCACCCTCCTCACACAGACATACATGTAGGCAAAACACCAATGCTGTGGGATGTTCTGTATGTCAAATGTGTTGCTGATTAGTCAATAATTAAAACACTGATTGGCCATTGGCTAGGCAGGAAGTGTAGGCGGGACAAGGAGGAGAATAAAGCTGGGAAGTGGAAGGCTGAGTCAGAGACACTGCCAGCCGCCACGATGACAAACAGCATGTGAAGATGCCGGTAAGCCACGAGCCATGTGGCAAGGTATAGATTTATAAAAATGGATTAATTTAAGCTGTAAGAACAGTTAGCAAGAAGCCTGCGATGGCCATACAGTTTGAAACCAATACAAGTCTCTGTGTTTACTTGGTCGGGTCTGACGGCTGTGGGACTGGCAGGTGAGAGAGATTTGCCCTGACTGTGGGTCAGGCAGGAAAACTCTAGCTACACACCAATGCATATAAATCTTTTTTTTTTGAGACAGGGTTTCTCTGTGTAGCCCTGGCTGTCCTAGAACTCGCTCTGTAGACCAGGCTGGCCGTGAACTCACAGAGGTTCTCCTGCCTCTGCCTCTTGAGTGCTGGGATTAAAGGTGCGTGCCACCACAGCCCAGCTATAAATAAATCTTTAAAACAGAAAGAAAGAAAATTTTTTTTCCCAAAGTTCTGGTGCTTTTCACCTGACTAAGAACTGTTTACACTGCAAAAACTTTTTTTTTAATGTTTTATTTTACATGCATTGGTATTATGCCTGCATGTATGTCTGTGTGAGGGTGTCAGGTCCCCTGGAGCTGGAGTGACTGACAGCTGTGATCGGCCATGTGGGTCTTGGGAATTGAACTCTGGTCCTCTGGAAGAGCGGCCAGAGCTCTTAACCACTGAGCCTTTCTCTAGCCTCTGCAAAAACATTTTATCTTTTCTATCTTCTGCCCCATCACAGGCACACAAACAGAAATTGGAATTCTAAAGCAAGGACACCTTAAACCCTGCCGTCAGTGTTAAAGACTGGAAAGCTGAACTGGACTGCGGTAAGGCACTGAAAGCCTTTGACAAATCCCATCCACAGGGCTCCCTGGAAAGTCTCCACCCTCTCACCACTGACCGGGCTCAATGCACCAAACCGGCACAGTGCGCACAATGAGAAACTGGCGGATGCGGGCAGAGGGGGCTTTGGGAAGCAGTGGTGGTTGAGTACGCCCATTAGTTAACTTTCCGCTCCACCTCGGAAAGCGCTCACTCTAAGAGTAAGTCATCACTCTCACTGAAACAGGAAGCCCGCAAGTTAGGAGATGTGCCCTGTGCTCCCACGAGACACTAGAAGCCTTCTCTGGAACGGAAGTTCACTCACCGTAAGGGGGTGAGGGCACCTCGAAAAGCCCA